CTTTCTTTCTTTCTTTCTTTCTTTCTTTCTTTCTTTCTTTCTTTCTTTCTTTCTTATTTATTTATTATTTATTTTTGCTTTGTTTTTTTTTTTTTGAGACAGGGTTTCTCTGTATAGCCCTGGCTGTCCTGGAGCTCACTCTGTAGATCAGGCTGGCCTCGAACTCAGAAATCCGCCTGCCTCTGCTTCCCAAGTGCTGGGATTAAAGGAGGGCACCACCACTGCCCAGCTAAATTTTATATGTGTCTTTTTTAAAATTCTGTGCTTTATTAAATGTATAATCTAGAGAAAGATATTTTTTATCATACTGAAACTTTTCTCATCTGTAATATGGCAACAATATTTTCCCTTAGAACTTCATGAAACTTGCTAACACTCCTGTCAAATAAAGATAAGAAAGCACAAAAAAGATAAGAAAGTGCTTTTTACTTAATGGATTTTTAAAAATAAGGACATAATAACTTCCTTAGGCATTAGGGAAATGCAAATCAAAAAACCCTGAGATTCCACCTCACACCAGTCAGAATGGCTTAGATAAAAATCTCAGGTGACAGCAGATGCTGACGAGGATGTGGAGAAAGAGGAACACCCCTCCATTGCTGGTGGGATTGCAAGCTGGTACAACCACTCTGGAAATTAGTCTGGCAGTTCATCAGAAAATTGGACATAGTACTACCTGAGGACACAGCTATACTACTCCTGGGCATATACCCAAAAGATGCTCCAACATATAACAAGGACACATGTTCCACCATGTTCATAGCAGCCTTATTTATAATAGCCAGAAGTTGAAAAGAACCCAGATGTCCTTCAACAGAGAAGTGGATACAGAAAATGTGATACATTTACACAATGGAGTATTACTCAGTTATTAAAAACATTGACTTTATGAGATTCACAGGTCAATGGATGGAATTTTAAAATATTATCCTGAGTGAGGGAACCCAGTCACAAAAGAACACACATGGTATGCACTCACTAATAAGTGGGTATTAGCCCAAAAGCTTGGTGGAATACCCAAGATACAATTCTCAGACCATTTGAAGCTCAAAAAGAAGGAAGACTAAAGTGTGGATGCTTCGGTGCTTCTTAGAAGGGGGAACAAAATACCCACACAGGAGGAAATACAGAGACAAAGTGTGGAGCAGAGACTGAAGGAAAGGCCATCCAGAGACTGTCTCACCTAAAGATCCATCCCACATGTAGACACTAAACTCAGACACTATTGCAGATGCCAAGAAGTGCTCACTGACAGGAGCCTGATACAGCTGTCTGCTGAGAGGCTCTGCCAGAGCCTGACCAATACAGAGGTGGATACTCACAGACAACCATAGAACTGAGTACAGAGACTCCAATGGAGAAGTTAAGGGACAGACTGAAGGAGATGAAGGCATCAATGGGAGGGGAGGCCCTTGGTCCTGTGAAGGCTTGATGCCTTAGTGTAGAGGAATGCAGGGGCAGTGAGGCAAGAGTGGGTGGTTGAGTAGGGGAGCACCCTCACAGAGGCAGAGTAAGGGAGATGAGATAGGGGGTTTGCAGAGGGGAAACCGGGAAAGGGGATAACTTTGAAATGTAAATAAATAAAATATCCAATTTTTAAAAATGGTCCCCATTGGCTCATGTATTTGCATGTTTGGCTTAGTTGAGGGACAATTTAGGAAAGATAAAGAGGTATGGCCTTGATGGAGGAGTTGTGTCACATGGGGGTTAGCTTTCAGGTTTCTAAAGTCTACATCAGACCAAGTCTCACTCTCTTCCTCTATCTTGCCAATAAGATGTAAGATCTCAGCTAATGTGCTTACCTGCCGCAAGACTTACTGCCATGATAATCATTAACTAACACACTATAACCATAAGCAAACTTCCAATTAAATGTTTTTCTTTTATATGTTGCCTTGGTCATGGTTTTTCTTCGTGGCATAAAACAATAACTAAGAGAAAAGCTTTTTATAGCTGACTATACTTATTTTTTAAAAAATTTCAAAATAAATGACAATTTTAAGCTTAAAAAAATTTAGAAAAGAAAAAAAGTTCCTGTTCTTAACTACCAGAGATTAACCACAATTTAAAGGTATTGTGAGATTTTGTGTT